GGCTGCACCTGCCCTGACGGTCTGTACCAGGATGAGGGTGGCATCTGTGTGCCCATGGACAGCTGCCCCTGCTTCCACAATGGAGACCGAATCCAGCCGGGGAAATCCATCACAATTGAGGATGAGCACTGGTAGGCATCAATCTTAAGGATATTCCTGAGGTACTCCACACCAGTTAATAGTTAACTACTGAACACTTTATGCATTTTCCTTTTAGCACCTGCACTAATGGAACATTAGATTGCCAGCTAACGGAAAGATCCATAAGTAAGTACTTTAGCCTCACTGCTGGCAGCCCAGATGCTGGGCTTTGTCTGATTCCTATTCTGTATTTAATAGGCTGCCCGTCCCATAAGATTCCATTCAGCTGTTCCACAGCCATGGCAGGCTCTCCAGGCCTGGAGTGTGAGCAGACCTGCAGAAACCCTGCTGCTGAATGTGTGAGTACAGAGGTTTTCCTTTCCAGTTTTAATCTGGCTTCAAGTTGAGAATTGGTAGTAGCCTGGTGCTTCATTGTGCTCTGTCCCTGCAGTACACCGTTGGGTGCGTGTCGGGGTGCAAGTGTCCCGATGGGCTTTATGACGACGGGATGGAGAACTGTGTCAATGAACATCAGTGCCCCTGTTTCCATAATGGAGAGGTCTTTCCTCCTGGGGTGACAGTGAGGGACAAGTGCAACACCTGGTAGGTCCTTCCCTAGAGGCATCTTGTGTAGCTTCAATGCAGTTTTTAGGCATCTTAATGGGGATAAGTACTTTTATTCTTTTAATTGCAGTTAAGCTCGGTGCTCACAGATGAGAAGCATTTGGTCATTGCTTTACTAGTACAAAACATGTGAAGTTTACTTCACAAAGTAACTTCTCCAGTGGTAAACTTAACTGTAAGTTCACCATTATCCTGACAATAGTGAGGTACTTCCTGTGTAAACTTAAGCTGTGCTCATCAGGGTACTGCTGTTGATATTGACAGCCGGTGCGATTCCAACTCTCTCTTCCCCTGGTTCAATATTTTTGGTGTCTCTCTCCCTCCAGCACCTGCAAGGCGGGGCAGTGGCAGTGCACGAAGGAGAAATGCCCGGGCACCTGCACCATCTATGGCAGCGGGCACTACATCACCTTCGACGAGCAGAGGTTTGGCTTTGATGGAGACTGTGGATATGTGGCAGCTCAGGTACTATTGCTAATGAGCTGTTGATTTGATAGGGTTGTAAGAAGGTGCTCTTGCAAGTCCACTGAGCTTGTTTTGTCTTAATTGCAACTTTACATGATGTTGCAATGAGCACCCTTTACTAGTGCCATGACCATTGTGTTAAAGGATTTCTGTGGAGATGAATCTACAGACGGCACCTTCAGTGTGATCACTGAAAACATTCCCTGTGGAACAACAGGCACAACCTGCTCCAAATCGGTGCGGATTTATATGGGGGTAAGAGCCATTTCTTGAATATAATCATAGCTACTTTTCAGGTATATTGTCATCCTTCTAGATCCAATCTCAAGCTGTACTCTATAGAACTGTTCTCCCATGTTTCTGAACCCAGCGCTGAGAAGTTGTCTGGTTTCCTGCAAGCCTCCCCACTGTAGAAACTGGTATAAATGTTGGGCTCACCAGGAGCTGAGCTGTCTGTCTTTCACAGAGAACTGAGCTGAAGCTGTCTGATGGGAAGTATGAAGTAACTAAACTAGACTGGGGAGAACAGGTGACGTACAGAGTGCAGACTGTTGGCATGTACCTCGTTATCGAAACCAGCATTGGGCTGGAGGTGCTCTGGGACCGGAAGACAGCCCTCTACATCATCCTGGATCCATCATACGCAGTGAGTCAGGACTGCCTGCAGTCAAGGACATCTGGTGTAAAAGAAATTAAATGGGGATTTAGCAGAAGAGACTCCATACTCTTTTTTTAACATGTTGCATAGATGGCAATGTGGAATTACTCTTGTAAAGTATAAAGTACTGCTGGACTAGTACACTGGGCTCTAATTTCTCAGCATGAAGTGGCTTGTGGGAGGGATTCTGCAGTGCTGCTGTCGCAGGATGTGCCCTGCAGGCTCCCTGACTTGTGCCCCGTGTCTCCTCTAGGGGCAGGTGTGCGGCCTGTGTGGGAACTTCGATCACAACGGGAAGAACGACTTCACCACCAAGGGCCAGCTGGTGGTGGCCAGCCCCCTGGAGTTTGGGAACAGCTGGAAGGTGTCCAGCAGCTGTCCCGACGCAGCGCTCCATGACCCCTGCTCTATGAATCCCTTCCGCCATGGCTGGGCTAAGCTGAAGTGCAGCATCATTAGGGGAGAGACCTTCCAAAACTGTCATTACATGGTAAGTCCTCCTACAAGATTAGATGGAGGAAGATTTAAAAGAATTGTGCATGCAGCTTGGCCTGTCCGTGCTGCTTTCTAAAGCAGAATACAAATACTTGTATACTAATTTATAAACGGATCCTTGTGCAGGTGGACCCCACTCCGTACTATGATGCCTGTGTGACAGACTCCTGTGCCTGTGACGGTGTAGGAGACTGTGAGTGCTTCTGCACAGCTGTGGCTGCCTATGCCGAGGCCTGTAACAAAGCTGGGGTTTGTGTGGCCTGGAGAACACCTGAGATCTGCCGTGAGTAGGGCCTACAAGATGCAAATAGGAAGATCCTTTGAAATGTCATGACCACATCAGGATGTCCTTGCATTTGGGCTTTCTTTTTTAGCTGTATTTTGTGACTTCTATAATACTCCTGAAGAGAACTGTACATGGCACTACAGTCCCTGCCACCCTCTATGCTATAAAACCTGTCGGAACCCAGAGGAGAACTGTAGCAGCTCCTTCCTGAAGCTGGAGGGTAAGACCTAGAAATCGTGTCCACCCTTTACTGTGTTCCATCAGCACCACCTCCGACACTGACTCTTGCCATCCTCGAGCAGTACGTTGAAGTGGATCATGGTCTCCAGTGTCCTACTCATTTCTGTGATCCAGAAAAACCTTTCTAGTGGGAAATGTCTAAAATTGGTTCTTGTAGGTTGCTATCCCACATGCCCTTCAGACAAGCCTTTTTTTGATGAAGACCGCGGAGCCTGTGTGGAGAAATGCACATGTTCTGTTGATGGGACTCCCTATCTTCCTGGCCAGGAAGTTCCCAGTGACCAGTGTACCACATGGTAAGGCATTCCAGAGCACAGATGTACTTCATTGGAAATTGTAAAGGTCCTCTCTTTTACTACAGCTGGTGCTTTATACAGTCCATACTGTTATTAAAGCTTGTGTAATGGCAGAGGATGAAAGCTGCTTTTGGTTAGGTCAACTTCTACAGCACCTTGGGTTGATGGCTGCTTTGATCTGTGCCCCTCTTGTTCTTGCAGTCACTGTACAGAGCTGGGAACTGTTGAGTGTACAAAGCACCCTGGTGAGTGAATACCCTTTCTTTCCAACAAGTCCTGCAGAAGTTGAATTCTTGCCTGACTGGGGGTGTCTTCCACAGACTGCTGCGAGTACAATGGAGTGGTGTATTCTGATGGTCATGTGATTTCCAGTTTCCCAGACCACTTGGGCATGTGCTCTTATGTGACTTGTAAGAATGGAACAGTTATAAAATCTGAGCAACTCTGTGCATCAACTACTCCTCCAACGACAAGTAAGAATTTTATGGTTCTTCTATAGAATGTGCCCTCCAAGTTATTTGCATCTTAAAGTGGCTAATAGCTTGAATTCAAGCACAAGTCTTGGGAGTTCTTGTTGCAATGCAGGAGGAAAGGAACAATCCCTCTGGTCTTAATCCTCCACAGTACACTTGCGTCAAAACTGAGCAAACGAATGTAACAGATTTGAGCCAAATGGAATCCAGTGTTTGGCACACGGAAATGTAATGCTTAGATGCCGGCATGGTACTAACGGGTAGGCCTTGTGCTCCTGCAGTGTGTGAACCCAGATGTGAATGGACAGAGTGGTTTGATGTTGACTTCCCGGGATTTGGCCCTGGAGAAGGTGAAAGGGAAACCTATGAAGAAATCCGTCGCCGTGGTTATGAAGTCTGCAGTGATCCCATTGCCATTGAATGCAGAGCTGTGGAGGCACTAGAAAGGAGCCTAAACCAAACTGTGCACTGCGAGCTCTCGCATGGGCTGATCTGCAGGAATGACGAACAGAGGGGGGTGCTGCTCTTCTGCCTCAACTATGAGATCAGAGTTTACTGTTGCCGCCATGGCAGCTGTACCACTACTCCTCCCACGACTCTTCTGACCACAACCAGTTCTCTCCCAGGTAAGTGGTTTTGCTCTGCCTTGGTGGGTGAATGAAGTACTCATTTTCACTATGGTGACTGTGAATTTTAACAGTCTACAGCTGGAGGGCTTAAAGTCAATACTGCTGTGTTCTCCTAACTGGGAGAGCCAATCGGATCCAGATTCCTTCTGCACTTGAAGTAGTTCTAGACTTGCTTTTTGGTGACTTTCTAAAGACTGTTTGGGGAAGCCATGGAGCAAAAGGTGATTTGAAAGCAAACATCTGATCTCCATTTGACCTTGAAAGTTCCTGTGGGGAGAATTGAGAGGCCAGTGAATTTTTGTACCAAGTACAAATAAGGGTTTCCTTTTAGGAACTTAATTCTCCAGTATCTGGAGGAGTCCATTAAAACTTGCTGTCTAGCTCGGCAAGCCTGGGAGCATGCTGCAGCTTGGATTTTAGCGTTTGTCTAGCTCTTTCTAAATGCTGAAATAGTCTAAAACCTGTTGGGTGCTACTTGATCGAGAAGTCGAGATGTGAGTGTTTATACATGGACTGCCTTGCTTAGTGCTTCATTTGGGTGAGAAGATTTGTTTTGGCCTAGTGAAGGTTGCACCAACTGATGGTCCCCATTGGGCCCTGTATTGATTCTCCATTGGGGCTGCTGTTCCCTTCATGGGCACGAGATGAAGTGGATTCCCTTCTATGATGAAGCCAGGGCAAGCCATTTACTTATACTTTACATCTGGAACGTACTGGTTCTATAGTCTGGGGTGCAAATGAAATGGTTGTTTGGAGGCATTTAACTGGTTATTCTAGTGAAACCATGGATTGTAGTGGTTTAAACTTTGGAATCAACTCCTGTCGGTTAACCTACATGTGACCTTTTTTTTTTTTTTTCAAGCTTGCAAGCCCATCTGTAAGTGGACAGAGTGGTTTGATGTCAGCTATCCAAAGATGGGACCTGATGGTGGTGACTGGGAGACCTTTGAGAATATTAAAAGCCATGGTGGTGACATCTGTGATCACCCAGAGGACATCCGGTGCAGGGCTGTGTCCTACCCCGAGTACACCCTGGAAGATCTTGGACAGAGGGTTCAGTGCAATGTGTCATTTGGGCTGATCTGCAAGAACAGAGATAATATGAATGCCCTTCCTCCCAAGTGCTACAACTATGAGATTCAAGTGTCATGTTGCAGTTTGAACTGCCAATCTATAACCCCTGCAGCATCAACTCCCCACACCACCATTGCTGAGTCAACTACTTTTAAAATTGTTACTGGTCCTAAACCTACATCGGGAGCATTGGTGATCCGAACATCTCCATCTCCAAATGCCACCACCCAAATGACCACCCCCACAGCCCATACCACTGTGCCAACAAGCCATTCCCCATCCACAGTGGGTACCTCTACCACTGCAGGCTTTCCAACCAGTACCCCTTCAACTGGGGGCCCCATCTCGGAGGGTTCCTCCACATCAGTGAAAAATCCCACCACCACTGTTGGTCTTCCTACAACGAGCACGACACCTGAATGTTTCTGCGTTGTGAATGGCACTACCTTTAATCCAGGTGAGACTTAAATACAAGTTTAGGGGGGTTCCAGTGCACTTGACGTTGATAATGTCATTGCTAAGGTGCAAGAAAACTGCCCACTTCTCTGGGGTGGGGGGGGGGGTGGGTACTCCAGCATTTATATGGATCTTTCTGGGGAGTGAACTTCTAAAGAGGATGCCATAACCTTTTTTTTTTTTCTTCCCTTCAGGGGATGTGATCACTGATGTTAACAGTGTGGCTGGCTCATGCCTCTATGATGTGTGTTCTGATGTTTGCAAGATTGAAAGGCACTCAAGACCATGTACAACAACCCCCACCCCTAGTCCCACATGGACTACTCCCAGAATCCCGGAATGCCCAGGATGGAATAAAAAAGTGAGTTTACTTGAAGGTTTTGCAGTGAGTAGTAATGACCCAAAGTATTTTTTGGTAGAACTTGGATCAGATCTTGTCCTGGAATGCTGGATCCTGTCCATCTGATCTCCAAATGGATCAAAACTACATTCAGTTCTGAAGCTGGAAAACTTTTTTTGTTCTAGCAAAACGAAGTCTTTGAAATCCACAACTGCACAATGGCTAGATGCATTGAGAATAACACAATTGAGATAATCCCCTACGAATGCCCACCTCTTCAGAACCTCACCTGCACTAATGGAAGACCCCCAGTCTTGGTGTGGGATGACAAATGCTGCCAGCATTTTGAGTGTGAATGTGAGTATTGCTGTACCTCCCATGGGGTTTTCTATTCAAGCTGGAGAAAACAATTTGGTATGTTTCCTCCCTTTCAGCAGAGCCAGGCTTGCTTGCTTTTTCTGGTGAACACAATCAATACTTGAGCTTAAATTTCCAAGTTCATTCAACAGGCTGATTTCTGTTTTACAGGCTACTGTATTGGCTTTGGAGACCCCCATTATGTCACCTTCGATGGGCTCTACTACAGCTTCCAGGGGAACTGCACTTATGTGTTGGTGGAAGAGATCAAACCTGTGTATCCTAAATTTGGGATTTACATTGATAATGTGCACTGTGATCCCCGAGAGGAAGTGTCCTGTCCTCGCTCCATCATTGTCTCTTTTGGTGGAGTGGAGATTGCCCTGAAGGATAAAGGGGATACTGTGACAGTGAACCTGGAGGTCAGTACTCCAGGCCATTATCCACCTTGTTTCTAGTGGGCAGTGGGATCTCCCACTTCTAAAGGAAAGCCCAATAACCCTCAACATAGAATTTCCCTAGAAGTACTGGACTAAAGATCTTTAACTTGAAATTCCATGTATGCCTGCCATGGCATCCTTCAAAAGAGGTCTTGGCATCAACTTGACCTAGAAACCAGAGGCTTTTAAATACCTTGTTCAAAAATCCCTAATCTTAACCTCTTCAATGAGTGGTCTTTGGCCAGTTATGCCTCATCACTGTGCATTACCCTTTCTTTTTGAAGGTGCTGGTGGATGGCCAATTGGCTCAACTCCCTTTCAAAGGGGAGAAGATGAGTGTTGTCAGCTCTGGCCTTAACCTGGTGCTGGAGATCCCAGATATAGGTGCTATGGTGACTTTCAGTGGAATTGCCTTCAGTGTCAAGCTGCCTTACTTCAGGTTTGGCAATAACACGCAGGGACAATGTGGTAAGTGCAAGGAATACCCCTGTAACAAAACAAGAACTGGGGAAACGGGAGCCCTGATCAGTGGGGGTTTAGATCTTTTTTTTTTTTTCCTGCCCTTTCTGGGATATTGCATCCAAGAGGTGCTTGTGTGGGAAGAGCCAAATCCATTTGTAGAAGTTCATCTCCTCATTTCTGCAATCCTATGGTGTAACTTGAAGCTGGGTTTTCCATCAATGAACCAATTGCCCTCTTCCCTCCCCACCCCCTCAGGAACCTGCACTAATAACCAGACAGATGACTGCATGCTTCCTGGAGGCCGGCTGGTCAAGGACTGTGCTGTGATGGGAGAATACTGGCTACACAAAGATGAGCACAAGCCCCACTGCCCCTCACCACCTCTAGTGACCCCCAAACCACCCTCTGGACCCTGCAAACCACATTCTGTCTGTGACCTCCTCAAGAGCAAGTGAGCTAAAGTCTCCACTATACTGGAGTTCTGTCCTGTAGGCGCACCTAATTGCACAGACTGAATATGTGCAAGACTCTTCTCCCCCAGCACTTTAAAATTGCAGCTTGCCTGGTCATGTATTCACAGGGTGTTTGCAGCGTGCCATAAACTGGTCCCTCCAGAGCCTCTGTACCGGGGTTGTGTGTTTGACAGCTGCCACATGGAGAACAGCTCCATTGAGTGCACCAGCCTGCAGACCTACGCCTCCATGTGTGCACAGCTGGGGGTCTGTGTGAGCTGGAGAGATGATGCAAAGGGGAAATGCCGTAAGTGCCTCATCCTGAAGGAATTGGGTGTGGAAGAACTACTTTGGCATGTGGTCAGTCTCTTTCCATTACAGTAACTTACAGCTGGGAAAACGCTTAAATTAACAGCCACAGTCAGACCCTTTATTCAAAATGGTTTTGAGGAAAAGTCTTAAAGCTACCTTGATCTAATGCTGGGTTCTGAAACCTGTAACCTCTGAATAACCTTGATTTTAAACACTGAACACAATCCTCTGCCAGCTGGCTAACGGGCATGTTTCTTTCACAGCCCCTACCTGCCTTTCCAACATGGTCTACAGGCCCTGTGGTCCTGCCAAGCAACCCACTTGTGAAGACCAGTAAGTTACTGGGCTGGATTTTCAGTTAGAATCCACATACTTCTAGTTGGGGAAGAAATGGTAAGGAATTAAACCTGTATTCATGTTCTCTAGCTCATCGGAAGGCCATGATATCCTTCCGATACAGACGGAAGGCTGCTTCTGTCCTGAAGGCTCAATCTTGTACAACAAGCACACTCAAGTCTGTGTGGAGAAGTGTGGTATGTGCATTTCGGTTTAACTGAGCCTTTTCTAAGGGCACTTAAAATGCTGCCATTCACTAAATGTTTGCCTACAAAGGTGTTGGTAAACTTGCAATATTGCTATTGAAGTACATTGTCAAGTGAAGTTAACTTACTATTGGCTATACCATCAGACATTGGACCAACATTTAATTGATGCAGGTCTTTTTTTTTAAACATTTGTATAGACTATAATGACCTGCAAAATGGTACTGTACCAGCACTTTGATTTAGCTTTATTGACCATTATTGCATTGTTCTGTACAGGGTGCCTTGATCCAGCTGGTGTACCTCGAGAGGTTAGTTCTCACTGCCAGGCAGGGTCACGTGAGCCTTTCCTGACCTTGTTGAGAAGATGGGTGTGGCTGGGAGGCTCTAGTACGAGGTCTGTCTGTGATTCTTCTATTTCTGCCCTAGTTCGGGGAGGCATTTGAGTACAACTGCCAGAACTGTATCTGTGACATCAACACAAAAGGAGTGAGGTGTGAGCCAAAGGAATGTCTGGTGGAGCCCAAACCTGACTGCAGTGGGCCAGGCTTTGTCATCACCAGTGAGACCAGCTCCACGGACCCCTGCTGCAAGGAGCTTGTCTGCAGTAAGTTCATTACATGACCAAGCGTAGTCTGCACAGACTTGACCATTACCTGTCCCCTTTCCTTTGCAAGTGGGCTAGAACATCTCTTGATGGCATAAGCCTACTGAGTTTAAGTCCTTATCTTGACTATCAAGTGTTCCAACAATGCCACCCTTGTCAAGTGCTCCATAGTGCCTAGACCTATGTGCCAGTGTTGTGATGCTCATGTGAGGTATCTTGTTGTTCCACCTCAGGGTGCAATGCCAGCTTCTGTCCACCCAACAGCATGCTTTGCCTAGTGGGGTTCCAGCCCGTTGTCCAAGTCCCTGATGGAAAGTGCTGTCCTGAATACAAATGTGGTAATGAGCCCTGCATCTCTCTAAGCTGGTTCCCTCAGGAAACCAGAAGTAAACTTTAGCAGTGTTTGGGTTCTAAGGGAGCAATTTTGAATGTGTGATTATCAACTTTATTTCTACTCCACCTTCTAGGTCTTTATGAGCAGTACAATGCTGACTGAAGGCCACTGTTGGAATTCCAAATGGATTGCATTTACCAAGGGTTGCAAAACCTGAATATTGAAACACAATTTGGACTTCAATATGGCTACATGCTTAAACACTTTTGGTCCCCAACAAAATGCCACTAAATGTGCAATATGAAGTTAGGATTTGTGATTCTCCTGGCTTTAATACAGAACTGCTTTAGGTAGTCTATTCAGTAAAGTCTTAAGTAAAAGATTCACTGTGGAGCCAAACTGCATTTTCTTTTTCAGTGCCAAAGGAGGTTTGTGTGCACAACAACATGGAATACCAGGTAACTTAATGGGCAGCCCATCTAGGGGTGTGAATGCTGCACTTAATCTAGAAACAGTAGTGGGTTTAAAGGGAGATTCCGGCTCACTTCCTGTGACCCATGTTCTTCCCAGCCGGGATCCAGTGTTCCAGTGGATAAATGCCAGCTGTGCTCCTGCACCAAGGATATGGATCTCTCAACCCATCTCGGCACTATCAGCTGTGTACCCGTGCCCTGTAACAGGACCTGTGAAGAGGTGAGGATTGCGAAGTTGCAAGGCGCTGTTCTGGAGTTAAATATCCCAGCTGGTAGTGGGATTTACCTAGAGGCATCATGTGTATTCCAGGGATTCCAGTATGTGGGATATAATGGAGATTGCTGTGGAAAGTGTGTGCAGACTCACTGCGTCATTGAAGTGGACGGCACCATCCACGTACTCGAGGTCTGCTGAGCTGTACTGGCAAGCTTATTGATTGAAGTTGCATCATGGCTCTTTACTAATGCTGAGTGCTTCTCCTCTCTTCCTTTAGCCTGGAGAGCAATGGTCCCCTCTTGGACACAAGTGTGAGGTGCACAGCTGTGCAAAGATGAACAATGCCTTCATCTCCACTAAAGCCACCATTCAGTGCCCTGCCTTCCACGAGAACAACTGTCAGCCGGTAAGGGTGCACAAAACCTAAAGCCACTACTTGCTCTTTGAACTGGAAATGTTCATAAAGCTTCTGGCTTGGCTAGATGTTTCTAGCATTGTGGTTACATTTTAAAGCTACAAATGGTTTATATTGGAGACCTCCTTCCTATAAAAGGATTTTCTGGTAAGGAATCAAAAGGGTTGAAGCTCAATATGCTAATTGCATTCTACAGGTGCAATCTTTCTTACTGTGGTACTGGGCACTTTTGAAATGGCTTTTGTTTCCCCCCCAAGGAAGTCGGGAAATGACCTGACTAGGTTTCATTTTTTTTTTTTTGCCTGTAGGGAACAATTGTGACCGCTCCAGATGGGTGCTGCAAGACGTGTAAGTATTGCAAAAACCTTGATAGACTTCTAATCCCGTCAGCGGAGTGCAGTAGAGATGCCATCAGCCACTTGCTCTGTTGCACTGGGCTACCCCTGCGGATTGTCTTTGCAGGTGTGGAGACACAGAAGGCCTGTAAGGTGTCCACTTTGAAGACTCGCATCACGGATAAGGGCTGCCAGTCCCATGATCAGGTTGAGATGACGCACTGTCAGGGTGCCTGTGGCACCTCCTCCATGTAGGTTTCCCACCAAACTGCTCAATCATCCTTGTGGGGGGGAGTTGTCCGCTTTGAAGCGTTTTGTCTATAATGGCCGTTCACTTCAACCAGTTTCCCTTAGTGTTTCATGCTAAAGTAGGGACTATTGTATAGAAGGAATTGTTACTGTTGCAGTGAGTAGGTTTGGGACCCTTTTTGGGCTAGAGAAACTAGTGCCTTGAAGTGAACTTTGTTCCCCTATGTAGAAGTGTTAACTTGTAGACTAATATGCTTCAAAACATCCCAATAGACCCAGAGGTTGTTGCATTAGGAAATTGCTATTGAAGCAGGAAAGGCTTTCTGCTTGAATTTATTGCTTTAATCTGCCTGCTGTTTAAGGGTAATTGGCTAGTGAATGCAAAGGCAAAAGCAAGGCTACTTCAATCAAGTAATGAGTGAGCAGAATAGAGGGCTAAATGCCACTTTTCTTCCCCCCCCGCCCCCCCACATTTGTGCATTGCAGGTACTCTGCTGAGGCAGCTAGCATGAAGCACAAGTGTGCTTGTTGCCAGGAAGTGGAAACTCACGAGCAGACCATCACCGTGATCTGCCCTGATGGGACCAGCCGGCCCTACACTTACATCTATGTGGATAAGTGTGACTGCCGCACTACAAACTGTGATCAGACCACTTCTGTCATGGACTCCAGCAAACGGAGCTGGCAATCTGCACTAAGTGATGAAAAGGACTTCAATGAAATGCCAAAAATTGTTCATTAGTGCTCAACTTCGTGAATGGAAATACTGCAGCTTTTGGGTCATTTTCCATGGTTGATTTATTGACTTCAGAAGTTTTAAATGGATCTAGTTGTATTAAGCCAATAAAATTGCTTCAAAACACCTTGAATTTTGGTGCAGAGTTTTTTCATTCTCGACGAACATGGTGGTCGTACTTGAGACCCATTTGAGGGAACTGAACTGGTTTATTGCAATAGCCCAAATACTACCTTGCCATTCCAGTTCACTAGGCTGCATCAATGTTTAATGAGCAGAAGAGACTTTAGGGAATTTCTAAGCCCTTGTCATCACATTGGCATGTTTCACAGTGCCCCTGCACTAAAGCTCCAACACCACTCTGGACAAGTTTTGATAAACTTAATCATTACATATAACCTACTGTGATCAGGTCCATCCATTTCTCAGTAACTTCCTTGTTTCAAGTGCCTTTTTACAGCCTTTCTTGGGAGACTAAGTTCGGATCACATTTTTTGAGCAGCAGATCTGGGCAGCCAAAAGGAGCCTTGATTGTATTCCCCTACTGTTAAGGGCTTGTCATTAAGACTCAAGTGCAGAAGTATTTTCATTCAGTCTGGTCTCGACATGATTCAGCCCTTCCATCATAGTCAAGCATACTGTAACTGTTAATAGCTCAATCCCTAATTGCGAAGTGTTATGAGGAATTGTGCACTCTTGTGTTGCTCAGAAGGATCGCGTGCAATGTTTATATACTACCTTCTGAAGTCTGTATGGTGCGGTTACTGTGAGCATTATCCTAAGCCATCAAGAGCAGAGACCTCCTCCTTAATAAACATCTTGCTGGCAAGGAGGGGATGTAGCCGTCAACTGCCTTGTAGCTATGGGAGGTGCTGTTTATCTGGCAAAGCTAGTCTGGAAGGAACAGAGAGTATTTAAAAAGGCTATAAGGAAAACCACAACCTGTGCCTTACTGTACTTCTGTAACTTGCATTTTCCTATTTTTAAATGCAGTACTTTGTTTGGAATGTTGTGTGAATACACTACATACATTTCTTGAACTAGGGAATCTACAGGCTTGCTTCATTTCACTTGTACTACAGAATGAGCACATGGCTGAGGTCCCACACTGCCAGTGAAACGGACTTGAGCTGTCAAGTATTGCCAGAACACCGGATGCTTCACCACTCCTAAGACTCCTTTCAGTTGCGCTGTTGATTTTGTGTGTTTGTCCAGCACTGAAGCACACAATCCAGATAAGGGTCGGCCCCACCTCTACCTCATACAGGATGCAGTGTGTTCTATCCCCCTGCATTCCTGGTGCCATGGTGTTTAATTTAGCAGGGACAGATACCTAAGCCCTTTGCATTCATTCTAATGGCTTTAACAACTAAAACTTATTGCAGGCTTTAGTAGCTCAATTGGGGAGCTGCAGCAGTGTGGGTAGGAACAGGTAAAGGTTTATTCCTGCTGAAAGGAAACATTTAGTCTGTGGAGCCTTCTTCATGTGTCACAGGCTTTTACTTGTTGAGTTTTAATACAATCCACAGTCCTAAATGAAAACTGATCTGTCTCAGAATCATGTTTCTAATGTGAAATGTATCTTTTTTTTTTTCCAGTCAATGGGTACTACGCATGTCTTGCGTGCCATTGAAAGTGTTGTGTTAATGACTTGTAAACGCAATTTATTTCCTTATGTACAATTGGGGAGAAAACATTCAAGACATGTAGGCGTATTTATCTTAAGCTTGTCTAGTACCTGTAATGTTTCTGTTCACCGGTGCTGATATTTAATACAGGGCTTTGTGTGCTCAGCCCAAGGCATGTTGTCTGTTCCTTCCTTGGGAAACACCTTAGTGACATAAGCATTTCATACATCAGTCATAACCTAGAAGTGTCCTGTTTTTATCTTTGAGAAGCATTACTTAATCAGCTGCATTATTTTGTGTAATACTTTCAGTTATAATACTGAACAATACTGAAACAAAAATGTTTCCTTTGTTATATTCCTATCAATCTCCTATAATATTTTTGTTTAATACATTATGTACTGTACCCTTTCTTTAACTGGATCTTTTCCTTGAATTTTTCTTAATTAAATTATTAATCTATTCCACATAACATAAATGTGGAATTTATGCCAGCAGCCATATCACTCTGCAATTCCCAGCTGGCAGCCCCACTGGAGCTCAGCAGTGTGAGCCTGGTCAGTACATGGATGGGAGACTCCTGGGAAAAAAGGTCGCTGCTGGAAGAGGTGTTAGTAGGGCCAGCAGGGGGCGCTGAGGTCTGGGTCCTAATGTCCCAGTATAGTGACGGGGACACTATACTGTAAACGGGCACCATCCTTCACATGAGACGTAAAACCGAGGTCCTGACTCTCTGTGGTCATTAAAAATCCCAGGGCGTTTCTCGAAAAGAGTAGGGGTGTAACCCCGTCGTCCTGGCCAAATTTCCCATTGGCCCTTATCAATCATGGGCTCTTAATAACCACACTCTATGAACTGGCTTCATTACTCTGCTCTCCTCCCCACTGAGAGCCGCTGTGTGGTGAGCGTTCTGGCGCACTATGGCTGCCGTCGCATCATCCAAGTGAGGCTGCACATTCGTGGTGGTGGAGGGGATCCCCATTACCTGTAAAACGCTTTGAGTGGAGTGTCCAGAAAAGCACTATGTAAGTTCAAGCAATTATTATTATATCATAAATAATACTGTTATTTTCTTTAAGCACACCTGGAGAAACAGCTTCAGATCCACCATCTTCTTGGTTATCAGAACTACTATAAGTGTTTCTGTGTCAGCACTGTCTCCGATCCAGGCAGGAGTCTGAAGAGTCTGAGGTATGCCACCTGAGCTCCCCCTAGTGCATGTCTCTGACAAATCCTCATTCTTCTTCCCAAAACTGCTGTTTACAGCGTCTCTCACCCTTTCTGATATCCTTTGAAAACCAATCCACAAGTGATATCACGGGTCATATAAAAATCTGATGGCTATGAATCTGATAGTGCCTCTGCCTTTCCAAAAATATGTAAGTAAATTAAAACAAAACAATTCTTATTAAAAATATAACACTTAAAGCAATGGGATAACATTTCAGTAAAACTGTTGAATAGGCAAAAAGCAAATCTTTGCAACAAAGCATTAAGATGATGTATTATGCTTTAATATGCTGAAGTATGAAGTATTAAAAAAGAAAGTTAAAAGGCACTAGCCCACTCATGTGGAGATTTCCAGTAATACCATTAATTCTAAGTGCATCTGAAATGTTGAACAGGAAGCACTTCTTTACAAAGGGTTGTGAAGGTCTGGAACAAGTCACCCAGCGATGGACAGTACCTCAAGCTGGATGACTTCCTCAGATCTAGTTAGCAACTACTGTAGCAACCAAGCAAACTAGATTTGTTGTGTGGCCTCCTCAAACCTCAAACCTCTTTCAAATAAAACCATATATAATTTTGTCTTTTTAAAGCCAGGCCACCAAAAGCTATGGGCCACTGTAAGGCCATCCAGTGTCAGGATTTGTAGGTGTCTTTCAAACGGTAGAAAGGTGTACAGTACCTGCTCTTTCATCTGCTAATACCAGGATGGGATGTGAGGTATGTGATGTGAGTGACAGGAGTGACAGAACTTGGGGCTTTTTTCTGTCATTCTGTTCAGTTTCTAAAAGTCAGTTTCCAAATTCTGTCATCAAAAATAAGGAAAATTTTAAGGTTGTTAAAAAAGACTTGGGGACAAAATCTTGTGTGATTCTTTTAAAGTTCAAGAATTTTACGTTTAGAACAGACATTTGACATAAAAGTAATATAAAATAATATTTCAGGGCATCATCTTTCTTTTATGAAAGTTATTTCTTAGTGTGATTTTGGGGAATGTTAAGGATTCAGATCTGCCGAACATCTTTCGAGAGCAGAATGGCCTGATCTCAGGTGGCTTTTCCATCAGCTGATCCGTCAGGGTGAGAATCAGGCCTGCAGAAGGCCATCCAGGAACAACATTTGCATGTCTTCACTCTGATGTTTACCTGTCAGTTGGTTTCACAAGAAACAAACTTGTGAAACAAACACGGAAAAGGAATTTCATAATTGTAATGTTGTGGTATTATGTGTGTGTATTTACACAATAGATTTGCAGTTAACCGTAGTTAACCTGCTGTGACTATTTATAGCTAAGTCATAAAAAGAAATTCACAGCACAAAATTCTCTAGAAGATGTGTCAAAAGCTTTTATTACCAAGCTGTTAATAAAATCTTAAATTGCACCACAGGGCAATCAAATCAAATGGAATGGAATCAGATCGGATCAAATAAAAAAAATTGCCTTAACCAAAGAAATGCTGTACATGGGTATAATTTAAATGTTCTATGTTAGACTTGTTAAAAGAATAATTCTTGCAAAACGTTGCAAAGTTGTATCTTGTAATAAGAATATTTTTTTCTTTGTGGCGCTAATTGTCTTCCATACATAACACTACAGTTATAAGCAGCTGTACGCGGATTTTAACACATGATATATTTTGCAAGATACAAAGAAATAATGCAAAGCCCGATTGCTAGTTTATTTGTCCCACACTCTTACATTTTCTCCCATGTGTACAGATGTGTACTGTTATTCACTACAGCAGTGGTGGGTGAAATGTCCTGCTAAAAGGTACAGCAACAGTCTCTCACACAGGGTTTAAACCCACACCCTTTCATTTAGAAGTTTACAGCCCTGATCTCAGCTCCACACAGCTGTCCGTGTGGTGCTGAGCCTCTCAGTAATCCTGCCACTCACATTATTTTTTTTTCCCATCACTCCTCCTAGTTGGTCTCGCCTCAGCGTGACCTGGACCTGATGAGCTACCCACAGTGCAAGTCCATCGAATCTGCCAGCATGGATCTATGCCGCAGGTCTCTGATGCAGCAGTGGAAGGCCAGGAAAGGCCTGTACCTACATTATAGGGGATAGGATGTTCTGTCTGGGCTCCTCTGCCAGCTTCAGGCCAGCATTCACTAGTTCAGTCAATTTCCAATTACAATGAATAGAGATGACTCATATAAAGGGATGGCATATTTAATGCTGTAGTGTTTGGCATTAACTCATCTAAATAAGAAAAAATGGCAGCCCCAGCCAAAGGTCAGAGTTGTCAAACCCCCCTCGTTTATGAGGAATGAGACAGGGAAACAGCTGCAAGGGCACAGACAGGGTGGAAGGAGGGGTGAGAGATGCACATAGTGATGTGGGCAGCCAGCGAGTGATATTACAAAAGAGAGCAGAATTGGAAGATGAGAAACAGAAGTGTTTCAGGTACTAGCAGGACTTAAGGTAAATCAATCTCTAGGTCCCAATGGTATCTTACCAGTTAGCAAAGGAAATGAGTGATGTTCTTCAGAACGTACTGTATCAATTCAACTCTTTCAAGAGTCACTCAAGTCAGGGTGAATACCCATGGATTGCCAAACGGTAACTGAAGTGCCGACAAAACCAACCCAAGTAATTATAGACCAATAAGTCTAATTTCTGATAGGTTAGGGAAACAATTGTTAGAACTAAACTAGAGGATCACCTAATTTATATCGAAAAGCCATCCTAGGGTATAGTTAACACAGTTTCAGAAAGATGGATCTTGCTTAATCAACTTGTTAGAATTCTTTGAATAAGCAACAACAGAAATGGACAAGCGCAGATCATATGATATTGCGTATTTAGATCTTTAGAAGTTTTATGATAAAGTTCCAGATGAAGACCGCTGCTCAAATTCCAGATGAAAGAATTTCAAGGAAATGTGTTCATGAATTAAGAACTGATGAATAAATAGGAAACAAAGACTATAGATAAGGGGTATATAGTCAAATTGTGTGATGTACAGTAGTGGAGTACCACAGGGGTCTGTACAAGGACCACTGCTCTTCCTAATTTATATCATTCAGGTTTGTAGATTATACCAAATCAGGTGGATCAGCAAACATTAAAACTGTTAGCAGAAAATTAAATTAAAAAAGATTTAGTAAAAGACCGGGCAACCACCTGGCAGATGACATCTAATGTTGACAAGTGCAGAGTTGTGCATACAGGTAGTAAAAACAAAAATTGTAAATACAAGTTGGAAGATGCTGAGCTAGACTAAACTACTTAGGATAGTTTTTTATGTTGACATTACTTAAATCTACCAGACAGTGTGGAGAAGCAAAACAAAAAACGGCAAGCAAAATGTTAGGCTATATAGTTGGAAGGGTAGGAGTTAAATTAAGGAAAGTCCTCTTAAATTTGTATTATGCAGTAAGGCCCTATTTACAACAGTGTGCACACTTCTGGTTGCTACAGTACGTTACAATACATATTGCAGACATTGCTCTGGAATCAGACCTGCAGCTGAACAAGGATGGAGCCTTTCCACCTGAGCTTGTTCAGCTGCTGTAGCAGAGTTGTCTGATCTCAGGTGGCATTTCCATCTGCTGGCTGCCACTGTACTGTATCTGTCAGAGTGAGAATCAGGCCTTGAGGAAGGCCTAGCGCAACCACAAGAAAGTGTCCAGGAACATTTGCATGTCTGATGTTTACCTGTCAGGTGGTTTCACACAATTCACATCAAAAACAAGCAAAAGAAATTAAATAATTGTATTGTTGTGGTATTATGTGTATTTACATAATAACTTAACCATTGATTCTAGAGTTACTATGTACACTGTAGCTAAGTAATTAAAAGTGACTCACAACACAACTTGTGTTCCTTATAAGATATGTGCTTCACATTTGTCTTAATCAAATGACAGAATAGTTGTGACTTAAATCTGCTGTTTTACTTTGGACCTTCTGTACACATAATAATAATTTTACAAATAAGGGAAGGCCATTCAGCCAACCCAAGCTTATTTGGTTGTTCTTGAAGAATCTCATCCAGCTGTTTCTTGAATGAATACAGATATGTCTCAAATACAGGGTTAGGGAATGTGCTCTACATCTCCACAACACTTTGTGTAAAGAAATTCCCATTCTCAGTTTTACAGTATGCAGTTCCAAACTGTATCCTTCTGTTCATTGTCCATGAATACTGGTTAATTTATCCATTACTTCATTCAACTCAATTGACTTCTCATTTAAAATATGTAAGTCAATTCAAATCTATAATTGCAGAGAGCCAAAATTCATAATTAAATATTAAAACACCAGTTGACTTAACGCCTTATTTTCATACACATAAATGTGGTGAATTTTAAAGTAGAGAGAGTACAGCAATGTAATTCATGACTACATTGAAAGAGGCCAAAAAATGTACTGTTTTTAGTATAACTTTGGTGTATATGCATCAGTAAGGGATTGAAAATCAGATGAAATGGACAGATTTAGCTTGTCTTGTTATTTCCATGGCTTTAAGGCAAGGGGAGATTACACTGGAAAACACTGCAATCATCCGCACTCATTACTGGTTCCAGAGAGGTTCTGTAATTCTGTAGCTACAGAGGGGTGTGTTGGACAGTAATGAAGCCAGCACAACAACACATACCATCTTTGGAATTAAAGTACAAATGAAAAACTACAATTCTTCAAATACTAGATCATACAAATCATGAACTGTGAAATCAACTACTACACTGTATCAGATTATAATCTGAAAAGCAATTAAACATCAGTACAGAGTCAAGAAAATAATAGTCTTATTTAAAATGGTCAAAAATTAGCTTCAATTAAGATCTGAAATACATACTGTACTGTATAGTTCACATAGGGTTGAATTTTACCCTATTGGTGACATTCATGAAAGTTCCTGCCTGCCTCATTTCTGCAGTTTTTTAATAAATACTCTGAGCTGGGCTCCTGCACACTGCAACGCTGTATTGGACTGAGTGGTTAAAGAAGATGGAAGAATAGTGGTGGGGAAGCTCCTGCTTTTGCTCCTGTTTCATCATTGTGTTTAACTTGTTGCAAGGAAATTCTACATGATACCTGTTTACATTGAGGAATCATCAAGCTCAGCCCCTGGTACTTTAGTCCCTCCTTACCTCTGGAGCTATAAAAGCCAGAGCTAGAATCCAGTTGGGACACTTTCCCCGAAGATCCTGTGGAGACGCTGCAGCCTATCCACAGTGAACCATGGGAAGAAAGGCAGGGGTACCAGTGTTGGTGCTGATGTGGCTGATGATGTTTGCTGGTTATGGCTCTACGCAATCAGGTAGGCAGAGTAGATTGCAGCTACTAAAGGTTTATGTTTAAAATCAGTCAAATGTTGGCAGTGTCAAAGAATACTTTCGGGAACTCGTACACAGATTTAAACAATGAAGATGAATGTGTAATAACCAGCTTTCTGATCTGGTATTTGGAGAATAAATACACAAATCACCTATTTCAACAAGAATATGAATTAAAACTTAAACACTTCTTTAAGTAACAACAAGCTTAAAAAATACAGCAAGTTTTATCAAAATAAGTGTTTAAAACACAATTTCCAAGATTCTACTAAAACAGTGAGACCTGTACCAACAAACTTCCTTCAGCACTGAACGTCACTGAACATCATTCAGACACTGGTTTCCCTGTGGAAGACCAAGGACTGAGATGGATGGGCTCTGCAGATGTCTGCTCGTTATTGTGCATGTTTTAGAACTGACATAAAGGGGGTGGGTGGTGGGGGAACCTAAGTGCTGTAATGTGGTAACCCCAAAATATACTGTAAGTGGCTGCTGTGTGCAACACAACAGCTGTTCTTAAGAACTGTTATCAAACTAAGGACTTTTATAGTTTTGCACCTGTTAAACTGACCGCCCTTCAGCCAGTTGAGCTGCCCTTTGCCCTTCCTCCTAGGCAGCGGCAGTGAGCACATCCAGACGATCTGCAGCACCTGGGGCAACGGGCACTACAAGACTTTCGATGGGGACGTGTACCAGTTCCCGGGGACGTGCGAGTACAACCTGGCCTCCGACTGCCAAGACTCCTACCTGGAGTTCTCCGTGCACATCCAGCGGGCAGAGCGCGAGGACCGCCCGGTCATCAGCCAGGTGGTCGTCACCATCAAGAACGTTGTTGTCGTCCTCCGCAGAAAGCTGGCGTCTGTCAATGGAGACATGTGAGTACTGTTGAGAATGTCTGAAAACTCAATTTATAAAAGGGGGGAACAGAACTGAGCCAAGAAACTGGAAGTGGGCTTCTGTTACAAGTAAAACCTTGGAAATGACACTTAGAATTAGAAGTTAGCAAAATACTTATAAAACAATAACATCTTAAAAAACAGCCAACTAGTTTTTGAAAAGCAAGGTTTTGTTTTAACTAGCTAGAATTTTTCACACAAGCTCAAACAGAGCAGATAATACAAGTTGATATATAGATTTCCAAAAACATTTTGTCAAGGTCTCACAAAATTTTAAGGGGCACAATTTTTAATTGAATTGCACTGGCTGTGGATGTTTGCCCATTATACCTTCCAGCATGTAGGGGCAGCAATATCCTGTAACATTAGTTTTTTACGGGACAGGGTTATTAGCCTTGTGCCCAACCTCCAACATGGATGACCCACTACTCTGAGATTATGAGTCTCATGCTCTACTAACAGAGCTAGTCTGTGCCTGCAATTGAATTGCAGTGGTGTGAATGCTGAAACAGTTGCAAAGGCCGCATAAACACTTGGGCAAGGTCAAGGATTTGTCAGACACTTCAAATACCAAATTAAATGTAATGTAATATTTTAAACAAATCTACTGTACTTTTTTGAAGAAAAACTGAAATCACAAAAGGTTGTTAATCTGAGAAAAAGACTAGGACTGTCTCAGCTTGCCCTTGAGAGAAGCTTAACTGGGCAGTAATGCGTTTGGCATTACAGCTTATTCATTATTGCTTATTCATTTGGCATTACTGCTTAGCCAGCAGCCATATAACTCTTCAACTCACAACTGGCAACCTACTGAAGCTAAGAAGGTGTGAGCCTGGTCAGTACCTGGATGGGAGACCTCCTGGGAAAAACTAAGGTTGCTGCTGGAAGAGGTGTTAGTGGGGCCAGCAGGGG